GGAGGAGGAGGAGGAGGAGGAGGAGGGAAAATTAGAAAATGAACGAGTAGAAAAGAAAAGGAAGAAGGAGAAGAAGAACAAGAAGAAAGGGAAGAAGAATGAGTAGATGGAGAAAGAAGAAAGAAGGGGAGCTGGTGGAAGCGTGGGACAGGAAGAACGGCACGAAGAAAGAGAAAAACAAGAAGAAGAAGAATTTATAATCGAAAGGGTGAAGTAAAGGTGAAGTGCGTTATGCTGCGCGCTGTACTTCGGTCACGCGAGAGGCGAGGTCAATTCCGGAGATAACAAAAACAAACCAATAAAAAATAAAGAGAGACCAAAGTCGGGGCGTGTTGGCCAAGGTCGTTTCTGAAACTGAGGCCTTGGTGGAAGTATAGTCCTACCCCAGTAGTGCCGATAGATGTACTGAAGAAAAACAAATCCACGTTATGAGGTCTTACTTGGCTTCATAACATTATGGAATTTTAGCAAGAGAACTTGACCACTGTCCTGTTTTGATCGTTGTGTAATTATATTCGTTGTCTCTTGATTGTTGATTACCCCCCCCCCCCGAAAAAAGAATAGCATAGAAAAAAAGAAGAAATATACAAAAGACAAAACAACAACAGCAGCAGCAGCAGCATAAACAACAACAACAATAACAACAACAGCAGCAGCAACAACAACAATGATAATAATAATAATAATAACAACAACAACAACAACACAAAACCAACAATAACCGAGATTCCAGTGTTTGTATGTCGTATGGAGGTTGTGTTGTCAATAACAGTCTGGGCAGTTGGTGGATATTCTGGTGTTGTTTGTTTGCTACTCTTTTGTAACTCTGTTCATTTATATGACCTAAAGTATTGCAAGTGCCATGAAACTTTTATCAAACCAAACCAAACCTGCACACACGGAGACAACTATGTCTGCACGTCTATTTCTGTCTCAAGCAAAATTGTCGTGAATTGTTCTTGATTTTCATTGTATTTCTCTCTCACTTTCTGTTTACAGGAAAATGGCGAAATGGTGGCGATCAAGAAATTCAAGGACAGTGAAGGTAACATTAGTTTCTAATTTCAGAAATTTTTAGTGTTCTTTACGTTCTCTGTGTTATCCACAACCACATTTATAAGTGCTTAAAGTCATCTGCACTGAGTTCTTGAAGTTCAGCCTCTTATTTCGTGGGCGTCTAGCACATAATAACCCGCCATTGTGTGCCAGAGTTCTACTGGGTTTTTTTTACCCTATGCAGTTGGAAGCGCTGCAAAACTCCCCCCCCCCCCAAAAAAAAAAGAGTTCTAGGTCAGACAGGTGGGTATGAAAGGCGCCTCTTGTACATCGTGCCTTACTCCTTTTCTTTCTCTCTTTTGTTCCTGTATGTCAGTTTTGCCATTTCCTTGCCCCAAATGGACGTTATTTTGTCCGTGTGCTTGTCTCTAGGCTACTATTACAACCCTTATATAAGTCAGTCTTGCTATGTGGACGCTCATCTACATAATTCTGGAGACGCCGTTCTTTGCGTCATCTTTTGGAGAAACCACGCACTCTTCAGACCGCAAAATTTAAAAGAAAGTAGCATTCAATATTCCTCTAAGAATATGACGGAGCCAGATTTTACATAGTTTTGAACTTTAAAATTAAGAACATTGTCGGTTTCGATTGCTATATAGCGTAACAAAATACGCCTGAGCCATTGTTTTTAAAAATCACATTTTATTTTTTATGTGAAAGTCCGCTGTTCTGTATAGGTTAAAAACTGGACAGACAAAAGCAAACGGAAATCTTCAGTGTTCCTAAATTATTGCTTGCGCTAGGTATCGTTATAGAATTATACTCCGAAATTTGGTGATTGGTTTTCTATTTCATTTTTTGCAGGTCTTAACAGATAGGGACTACAATTGACTTTTATTACATACCGACGTGACACCGAACACCATTGTGTGTTCACGAATTGTTTACTGCGCGATCACGCATATCCGGTTACGAGTAATCCGATCCCTGTGTTCGGATTTCACCTTTTCAGTTCTTCTGGTGCTAATGAATACCGTCCATGCCTTCTGACTTGTTTTGGTGGACGTAATGAATCGTAGGCCTACACCCGCTCTCATGGCATCATTATTCCACACTGTTCTATTCTATGCTTCATGAAAGATCTGTTGAGCCGTGTGTCCAGTGCCATGATGGTAATAAAAATAAAGAAATAAGAAATAATAATCATTGGTCAATGAGACTGTACAGAGTCCGCTTAAACCGAGCATGGATAACCCGAAGACAGAAGTAAACCGAAAGAAACAAGAATTACCGGTGGGTTTTTTTTCGCTGCTTGAACAATCTCCCCAAATCGGAAACACAGCTAAACTGAAAAGAACCCGGCGGTCCTACAGATTTCAGTTAAAGAGGACTCCGTTGTATTTTTTTTCTTCTATTCTTTCTGGCGTGTATTGCTTGCATTCTCTCAAGGTATGCTAGCCATCCTACACCGGACATGAAGCGAGTGACATTGATAGGTCCTACTTCTGTTTCTCTCCTTTGGGCTTTCTTTGTTCTTACACTCAATGAGTGTTATTCGATCGCTGTGCTTCTTTTTTATTCAATCTAATAACTGAACCATGATACGAGCAACACGAAAATGTCCTCAAGATCTGTTTTCATCCTTGTCAAGTCGATCACGTATCCTATTCCGATTCGACCGGTTCGTTTATTTGCTCGATGTACTCGAGGATTGTCATTGTCAGGGATTTTACTGAACCCCATACTTGTTGTAATTCGTAAGAGAGGGACCCCCCCCCCCCCACACACACAGAGTCAAGAAGAAGAAGATTTGCTCTGGCTTTTCAAATATTAAGTCAAGAGGACTTCCTTGATTTCATCTCTACCATAAATGCTCGGAGTTTTGAATGGGTGTAGTGTCTTCTGTTCTTTGAATGGCGGAATCGAATCGTAACGATTTCACGGAAAAACGAAACGGGGGACGTCTTCTAGTTACCAATGACAAACATGTTCAAGTATCTGTCTGCATCTCTCAAAATGGTCTGTCTGTCTGTCTGTCTCCGTGTTTGTATTAATTTTCTACCTGTTTGTATCTCTCAATGTACTGTGTCAGTCAGTCTGTTTGTCTCTCTCTCTCTCTCTCTCTCTCTCTCTCTCTCTCTCTCTCTCTCTCTCTCAGAATTTCGTAGCTAAACAACCCCCCACCCCTCCTCCCAACCCCAACCCCGGTACCCACCTTCCACAGAGAATGATGACGTCAGACGGACGACCATGCGGGAGCTCAAAATGCTCCGAGCTCTCAAACAGGAAAACATTGTGGAGCTCCGCGAAGCCTTCAAACGGAAGGGAAAACTCTATCTTGTCTTCGAGTATGTTGAGAAGGTGAGATTCTTCCTCGTCTCTTTAATGTATTTAGGGGATTTAAAAAAGGGGAGGGAGGAGTGAACGCGAACAAAGAAAAGGCGACAGAGAATAACACAAAAAAGGAAGTGAGAGGAAAAATACACGATTTAAAAAAAAATTGACACGACACGGGGAAAAAATGGGAACTTGAAAGATTTAGTAACTACCCAAGGAGTTTACAGTAGTGCTTAACTCCTTGTAACTACCCCAACTCCAGATAAGGTGAAAGAGTTTATTGAGATGGAGGGAAAAAAAACCCTTTGGCGCCTCTTCTTTTCCAGACATTTGAGGGGAATTTCAGATCTCTGTCACATGTTTGAGTGTATGGAGAAGATACGATAGACAAAGAGATGGGGGAAAAAGAAGCTGAGAGAGAAAAAATAAAGAGAGGGTGAGAAGAACAACTTTTGGGTACTACTTTTGAGTTAATTTCCGGGAAATGTCTGAATTTTGTGTTTTTGAAGAAGATGAGACAACTGTTTGTATCTTTTCTTCCCAGACGTTTTAAGAGGGGGTAACTCAAGCCTAGATTACCTTATCTTTGATAATATGGAGAAAGTGAAAGGGGGCGCAGGGATGGGGGG